TCTGAAATTCAGCCAAAATTTTAGTCAATCAATTAAATAGAATGAAGAAAAAAATTAATCAAATAGCATGCGAGAATGAAAGAAAAGAGAAAAAGGCCAGGACACACGCTGAACCACAATATCACGAATTCATGAGTTCTTAGTTAAGATGTATGTATAACTAATTCAACTGAGTTTTCTATCTTTCCATAGTAATTTGGAGAAAATAAGTCTAATGTATATTGTGTGTGCTTCTTCCTATCTAAAATTCCAATCAAATCTCTCTTAATACAATTTTGATACATATCAACAACTTAATATAAAAAGATAGTATTGATAACTTAAATACAAATTTTATACAATGATTCGTACATTATACAACTATTTTTCAACTTTCATACAACATTCAAATAAAAAATATATATATACAACTACAACAAAATATAATTTACATACAATTATAATACAACTTTACTACAATTTCGTAAGTATATTGTATGTCATGTGTCCTCCTTCTTTTTCTTCTTCTTCTTCTTCTTCTTCTTCTTCTTCTTCTTCTTCTTCTTCTTCTTCTTCTTCTTCTTCTTCGAGTTTCAATCTGAAATTCAGTCAAAATCAAGTCTAATCTTCACCAAACACCCTCAAAATTGAGATATAAACTCCTTAAAATATTCCCAATTGTTTGCAATAACACCCAATCCAAACAAATAATAATTTTTGAAAATCCAAATTCGATTTCAAAGTATCAAAGCTTCAAAGCTTTTTAATGGCTGTCAATGGTGGAGAGTCAAACACCTTCAAAATTTATTGATTGACAATTTCAATTTGAATACCAATTGTGCAATATGAAAGAAAATTGCTAAGTTAAAACTCTATAGTAAAACGATTGAAATTCATTGATGAATTCCATTAAAAATATATACAACATGAAAGGATAAAAAGTAGAGAATATCAGAGGAAGAAAAATTGGGGAAAGAACATAGAATGAGAGATAGAGAGACGGAGAGAGAGATAGCAGGAGAGAGAGATGGAGAGAGAGAGAGAGAGAGAGAGAGCGCAAGAGAGAGAACAGGGATGAGAAATAATTGATTCCTTATTCAATTCCTAATTTAAAGGGATACTCATTTAAAACTAATTTGTATATAATTGGTAAATTATATATGGCCATATAATTAAATTAAAACTTGAATAGGGAGTGTAATAAAGTTTCATATGTAGTATACGAAGGTAAAAATCCCTTCTTTCATTAGTTGTATTTTTTTTCTCTAGAACTGTTAATTGTGATACTTATACAACTATACAACAACAACAATCCAGTGAATTCCAACAAGTGAAGTCTGGAGTAGGAAGCGTATACGCAGTCATACCTCTATCCTGAGGAGGTAAAGAAACTATTTCTGATATACTATCTGCTAAAATAAAGAAGAAAAAAACTGTGGTAATAAATAGTAACAACTTATACAACTATAATTGCACAAATGTAAGGGTATTCTCTTGAATAACACTTTTCTTTAACATAAGGGTTACCTTTTATAACAGCTAGTTAATATATAAAATATGTGTTCTTCAGCCAAAGAAAAAAAGAAAGAAAGAAGGTGCTAGTTGGAAGAGTGACGGACAATATTTTTATAGTGAGTAAATTGTATGCATTTACCAAAACAAGGTTCATAGTGAAATTGGTATAGGTTTAAGTGGGTGGACATGTACTATAAAGTTGCTGGATTAAAAAAGGAAGAGCAAAACTTGTTTGTGAAAAAGTTACCACAACAAAGTCTTAGTGGGCGTTTGTACATAAAAATTGTAAAATTTCGAAAAAAAGACAAACTTTTTTTCAAATAAAAATGGTATTTGGGTTGTTTTTTAATTTTTGTGAGTGATCGGAGTAAAAATTTTGAAAAACACCTTTTTGGAGTTTTTCAAATTTTCGAAAATTTTCAAAATTCATCTTCAAGTAAAAATTAAAAATTTATGGCCAAACACTGATTTAAAAAAAAAAATGAAAAATATTTCATGGACTAACGGGATCTAATTAATCTAATGAAAACAACATAATACCTTGAATAAAACCAGCCTTATAATTTAGAAAAAAGAAAAACCTAAGTCTATCCATTTAACAAATCAGTTTTGCAACACAAAATTCAAATAATCAAAAGAGAAAATAAAGGAGAACTAGGAAGCGGGTATTAATCAGGTAAAATGGGAAACATATTAAGTTTTATTTATGTACTTTTCAAACGCTTCGTATTTAGGTTCTAGGTAGACCACTGCCGAAGCCTTTTATGCTTTTAAAATTTTCTTTTAAATTTTTTATTTGCAAGTGATGATTTCCCCCCATGTTCCTCAACTCTTATTGGTTCAAAAATGAGATTTATATCTAATAATAATCGGCAAAAGAGCATCTACCGTTTAACGTGCATAGTTGTTACTTGTTACTCTGTTGAAAAGTCTTTCTGAACAAGAAAAACTACTTAAAGAGAACAAAAAAACGAAAGAGAAAAGCAGAAAAAGAAAAAATACAAACATGAAAATGTTCTCTGCTTTTACAGCTTATTATGCACTAATCTGACTGTCTTAAGTTTTATGCAAGTATGTATATGCTAATTGTCATTAGGTTTCTGTAAAAGAATAGGGTGCCACACCTACTTAATTGCTTATCTTTCAAGTGAAGTTTTGATAATAGCAATCATTTGATTTCAGTTTCTTCATTTCTTCTTCTTCTTCTTCTTCTTCTTCTGCTGCTGTTGTACTTTTTCTTTTTTATTATCTTATTTTGAAATTTGCGTATATATTATGAAGTGGGAGGACCTTTGCTCAATTTAAAAGAATTCGATAAGTGCTTGCACGTTTCACACAACATTTTTTGTTGATATACATTGACAATGAATATCGGCATTTCTCCTAAATCACTGTTGCTTATTTCTTTCATTTTTCCTGGACTTTTGTGAATCTTTTATTTTATTTAAATCGTAAATTATTGAATTTATCTAGATAGTTAATCTTGCCACTTAACTAAATGAAAAATATAAAAGTAGTATAATTAAAAAAATAGGATAATAAGTTTGGAAAAAGGAGATTCAATTTCATAGCAACCAGTGTTTTAAAAGGCGTGGGCGTAAGGCGAGACGTTTTACATATGCCTCAGCGACGTGTAAGCCCCATAAGTATTTAATTTTTAATATTTTATAAAATAATATAATTACAGTAAATATTTATAAACATGTAAAATTGCATAAAAATTGAAGAAAAGTATAAATAAGTGAAATATATATATATATATATATATATATATATGCTTTATCCCCACAAAAAACTAGTCAAAACAATCTATTATACGCTACTTAGAAGCACAAGTAACTTGAGTCGAAAAGAATAAAGTTTTGTATATGGAAGACCAAAAAGGATGACTAACCTGCAACTTGGACTTTGAACTTGCTGCTATGAAGGAGAGTGTAGTTCTCTTTGTATTTGTAAAAATAAAATTGAATATTCATTGCTTTTAGGAGATATTAGAAGACTAGTGGACAAGATAAAGAATTGGGAAAGACCATGAATTAGGGTTTCAATTAATAAAAAAGGTCTTGACTTTTAAATTTAATACATTTCAGTTCCTTTTTAAAATTTTTGAGTAATTACCAAGCTGACTTTTGAGCATTTGGGTATTATATGAAGGACTTATTCAACAAATTTTGTTTTAATTTGAAAAAGTCTTTGGGGCTTACGCCTCACTAAAAAAACGCGCCTCAAACGCACGGACGTACGCCCCGAATTGCTGGGCATACGACTCTTGAGACTTTCGCCACACACCATCGCCTCAGGGCTCGCCCCGAAAACGCCTTTTAAAACACTGATAGCAACCTATCATGTGATTTTAAGTGCTTTGAAGTTTTGCTTGCAATGAATATTTATTTACACTACTACTCTAAGATTTTGCAACCACAAGAAATGACCACATTATATAATTAATGTATTGGTGCATCAAATTAGCCTAAACCTGAAAAAGAAAAATCAACATTACATTATGTTTTTCTCTTATTAGCTTTATGAAAAGGGAAGAAGTCTTTTAAGAGAAAGTGACGCAAGAGTGCAATCCAAGTTAGTTAAAAGAGAATGGACGCATGACCCACTCCCATTTTCTTTTCCTTTTTTTGAAAAAAAAACTGTTTCTATTTAATAATTATAAGTTATAAGTTTATTCACCAAATATGCACACATATTCAGAAGAGAATAGTACAAAGAGTACAATTGAACACATATAGAAGGGAATGATACAAAGAGTACACTTCAAGTATATGAAAAGATGGTGAAAGAGTAATTAAGGGTCAATTAATTTGAGTGAGATAAAGGGTCCAAAACCAAGATATGCTTTCAGCTGTAAAGTTCATTTTGACAATCTTTTTCATTTTTATTCAAATTTATGTCTTTTCATCATTTTTTCCATAAAAATCCATGAAAATGTTTTATTGATTTTGAAAGCTCCGTTACCTTGAGATTTTGTTTTTACAGCCAAAATTTTTGTACTTTTGCATCTTGGAGATAATATATATAAAACCGAGATTAGAGCGGTTAAGATTTAAATTTTCATTGAATGCAAACAAAACACGTACACAATATACAATAAAAAAGGAGCTATAAGATATACAAGAAATCAGCTCATAGGTACAATTAATGTGAGAACCAAAATTGCCCATGGACTTTAACTCACCATCTAAAGAAATACACATTGAAACTATTTAACTCTTCCACTAAAGGACGACAAACAATCAAGATTGCACACAACGCGTATATATCATTAAAATATATACTGTAGAAAGAAAAAATAAAGAAAAAGCGGTGGGAGAGTGGGGGAAGTGACTTAAATATCACGACAGCGAAGTCTCTCTGTGTTTTTGATAGTAAAAAGACAGCTAGCAGTGAACCACCAACCAATACCATCACCACTCTTCTTTCTCCTTTTTTTTTAGCTTCTCTTTCATTTCATTTCATTTCCAATAGACTTCTTCTTTCTCATGTTAAGGTACATAATATAATATAATTTCTGTTTTGGGTTTTTGTACATTTCTATTTCTTCAGAGTTTTTATTCACTCTGCTCACAGACTAGGATTTCTTGAAAGTTGAGCCAATTTTCTACCCTGAATTTTGGCGGGATTTTTGTAGAGTTTAAGGTTTGGCTCTCTTTCCAAACGTACCTTCTCCTAATCATTTGACGTTTCATTTGGAATTGGGCCGTAAAAAGAAACAATGGGTTTGCATTGAATTTGCCTCATATGAGCCAACAAAAACTTGGGTTCTAGAGACATTTATCCAAGCACGAAGCTTTAACTTTTTATAATACTATATTCTAACAATTTTCGTCTTAATTTTATTGCAGGGAATTAATTTTCCATACTGGGATTGATACTTGAAGCTTTTTTTGCCTGCAAATTCTTGTTTTTTCATAAGGTTTGCTCCTTGAATTTGCATTTGAGTGTCTTGAGATTTCTCCAATTTGTTTATATTCTGCGTCGGTGCACCAGCTTGCTCCAGTTCATCCTCCATTTCTCTGGCTATTTCACCATCTAAAATGTCGGCATGCTCTAACCAGCTCTTTTCTTCTTTTAACTTTTTCTGGAGTATTCCCATTTTTCAAAATTATGTATAAAATTTGCGAAAGATTACAAGAATCCAGTCCCAGAATCTTAATTATGCTTAAAATTGTTTTTGTTCCTTTTTCAATTTTCAAAGTAACAAAATTATGGGTAACGCACCTCTTTGAGCTGGCTAGCATTTTTTTCAATGACAACATTATCTAGCTTGAAGACATTGGCGTCGTGGGCCACTATCCTTCACCGCGTGCGCACGCTAGCAATCACCATTCACCTCAACTAGCCATTTTGTTTGCTAGCTGATAAATTGAATCACCCTTGTGTTTGTACTTATTCTGTTTTCATTTTAACAGGTATAAAGTTATAGTTAGGAAAGAAAGAAAAAAGAGGAGAGTAAAATGGGGTCAAATTTCGTGGATGAAATAGATTGCGGCAGCTTCTTTGACCAAATTGATGACTTGATTGAGTTTCCGTCAGAGAATGAGTGCGGTGGCCTTAGTTCAACGGATTGCAAGGAATTCCCAAGCATATGGGATCAGCCCTTACCGGATTCCGACCCTCTTTTCTCCGGCAGCTACAACAATTCACCTTCCGACCTGTCGGCCGAGCTCTCTGTTCCTGTGAGTCTCTCAATTCATGGTGTAATTATTATGTTATGGTACTTAAAAACTTACCATAGGTAAAGTGTCTATGATAAGTCAGTATACATTGAATATTAGGGAGATGTTGATTAAAACGGTGTTAAGTGGATCCGTTTATCAACAGCGTCTTGTCACGTGATTGGCTTGATACAGAAACTCCCATGGGTCATGAGTTGAGTGGTTGTTAGTAGCTGGTGCGAGGTGTTTGTTTAAGTTTTGGTTAATTAATGATTAAGCAATTGTGTCATAATTAGGGAGGTCAGTTTTTGAATCATATCATGGATGTATCATAATTAGCTAGCTCATGTTTTATACATTTTTTTTGCAGTAGCAATGGTTGGTTTTGGATTTTGTAAAAACTTAGTAGTATATGTTTAATGTTCAGGCAATTTGCAACAGTGAGAATATAAAATGTTTGTCAACAGAATCAATTTATTTTAGAGTTGCCAGTTTCAAATTCAAACCTTTTGTTCTAAAAGCATTTTAGTATTGTGTTTTAGGGGAAACGGCCATGCATATATCAGCTGAATATGGCTTGTACGTTAGGCCAGGTCGTCCTGTTCACAAAGTATTTTCTTAATAATGATCCTTTGATCTTTACCTTTTAGAGCACTAAGGCCAAATAATCATGCGTATAATGGACCAAGACAGACAATATATATAATATTTCTGAATTTTGAGATTTACACTTCCAGTAGTTAATGGCTGTTGGTCTTTCCTGCGTAGTAGTTGGAGAATTCAGTCATTCTCTTAATTCTTCCATCACTTTCCATTTGCATGTGGTCATTTGGTTGCCATTTCGCAGGGAATGGCCATCACAATGAATGAAAGATAATGACATTCTATTTGCAGCTACATGACTGTGTAACTAAAAGAGACAATATTGAACTAACATTCTATTAGGTGTTGTGTAGCTTGCTAATCTTGCTTTTGGGGATAATCATCAGAATTCTCTTTGTTTTGCAGTATGAGGATATTGTACAACTTGAATGGCTCTCAACATTTGTGGAGGATTCCTTCTCGGGCAGAGGCTTGACCCTTGGGAAAGAAAATGCTCCCATCAACAAGGAGACATCCCACAGCAAATTCCAGTCTTCGAGTCCTGTCTCTGTGCTCGAGAGCAGCAGCAGTAGCTCCTCCTCTTCCTGCTCAGGCGGGAAAACCTTTCCTCTCAGTCCATGTCACCGTGGTCCACAACGTGCTAGGAGCAAGCGTCCTCGCCCGCCAACTTTCAATCCTCGGCCAGCGATTCAACTTATCTCTCCGACATTAGTCTTCATTGAGAATCCCCGGCCATTTGCTGCTCCTGTAACTTCTTCACAATCCGAAAACTTGGCAGAGTCTCCAATGAAGAAAATCAAATTTACGATCCCTCTAGCTCCAATCGAGACAATTCACAACTCCACCGCACACGCAGTTAGAAGATGCATGCATTGCGAGATAACCAAGACACCTCAATGGAGAGCAGGTCCAATGGGACCGAAGACCCTCTGCAACGCTTGTGGCGTTCGCTACAAGTCAGGAAGGCTCTTCCCTGAGTACCGGCCTGCTGCAAGCCCTACATTCGTTCCATCCATGCATTCCAATTCTCACAAGAAGGTTCTTGAAATGAGAACCAAGGACATTCCCGAGAACAACGCCACTGCCAGCAACAACCATCCAACAGGAGTTCAATCCGAGTAGCACATCCTCAGTGGAGGAGTAGATGTAAAGGGAAGGGAAAAAGGAAGCAGAGAATAGCTTTACCTAGTCATAGTCTTTTTTGTGTCCTCTCTGCATTTCTCATTTCAGTTAATGTTATTTGCTTGCTGTTTTTTCGTTGGTTCTTTGTACAGAGATGTAATGGGGGGAATTAGACGATCATATTTTAGGTGGTAGAGAGAGGGGAATGATGAGAAGAGAGGGCACTGAAAGGGGTTAAGAGTGGAGTTTAGGGCTGGAGTATAGCTTTAGCGTCATTTTAGGTCCTTTTGAAGTTCAAAATAGGCGTGGGGTTGGTTTTGATCTCTTTATTAGACTTTTGTCCTTAATTTCTCATCATTTGGATGGGAATTCTTTTTGTAGTGAGTTTGTTATTAGGTGATTCTGAAATGAGTAATACTTTGGATTATGTCTTGAGATTGCTTTTCCTTCGTAACTTACCAAATTTCATAAATGGTCATATAATTAGAGGGCGTTTGGATTGACTGTTAAGCTGGTCAAATTTCAAATGAGCTTTTAAGCTCTTTTTAGCTTTTTTAAGTGTTTGACAAAATCAAAAAGTGCTTAAAATAAGTTAAAATATGGAGAATATGGAGAATATGGAGGAGAGCAAGGAGGTCCCCCTCATCTGAAGAAGACCATTCTTAGCAACGGGTAGAGCAATATTGGATATATACGAGAGAAAATTCATGCTTAGAGTGGGTGAGAAGACTGTGACTTTTGAGATGAATGTAGGAAAGTGGGGGTGCAAAAGAAGAAACCAGCTGCAAGTGTTGAGTTGAAAGTAAAGGGCTCGAAAGAAACGGCTGCAGTGAGTGAGAAAGATAAGTGTCGGATGTACCCCAAAAAGGCTTAGAAGAAGCTGTCTGCATGGATGTGCACATTAGTTCGAAGGTGAGGAATGGATCCCGACTTCGACTCATACCCCGACTAGATATTCAGGGAAGTTTTATTTACCTTATGCTTTTTAATTGTGTGTCATGGGGACATGCCACAACTTAAAATGTGGGGTGGGGGATATGTTGTATGTATGTACGTATATAAGTTTTAGTTTTTTTTAAAGTTTTCTATGTGTTAGTTGTAGTAGTTAGAGATATAAAAAAACATAAAATTTTAAATTTTCGATTTTCCCGACGATGGATATCATCGACAGGTTTCTTGAGGGAGTAAAGTCGAAAGAAAAAAGACAAAAAAAATTTCTTTTATTAGGTAGTGTAATAATTCCCCCTTAGTTTTTCTTTATGCCGCGGTTCTTTTTCAAGGGTTTTGTTTGAACCGGGTGTAGTTAGTTTTTGTTTTGTAGAAGTAGTAGGAAGCCTTGTGCTATGATTTGAATTGGAGGCAATATCTCTTAATTTTATTATGCCTTGAGAATAGTAAGTGCTTTAGTTGTGACGCTTTGGCTCAATTTTTGACTCTTGTGTAAGTACCTTAAATTGTATGATCTATGCTTAACTGCTTTGACTAGAGTGTCTTGATAGTCCAATCTTGAGTGAGTTATGTGCCATGTGTGAGTGAGGTTTTGTGTTATTTTGTGCATTGCATTTGATGTCTAGAACTTGCCACGTATGTTTGCAAAGCGAAATAGTAGTTTTATTCAGTCTTGATAGTGATATAGGCATTTCTTTATTGAGCCAGTTATATGCGCTTACCCACCTAATTGTTATGTATCTTAGTTAACCCTGTTGAACCTGTAATCCTATTTTCTTTGGCAACTACATTTCAAGCCTTACCCAATTGTTTGAATTGACCATCTATTTGAACCTTATACCTCTCGTGAGCACTTGAATTTGTTATGAACTTTGTAAAAATTAAAGTGGGGGGTGGTTGGTTGGCTTTTGAGTGGAACTATTGATATAAAGAGAAATGTGCACTGTATTTGAAAAAGTAAGAGCCACTTGAATTGAAAAAGAAAAAGAAAAAAATTAGTATATGATTGTGAAAAATATTCCTTGATAGTGGTAACTTGATGTAATTGTGCTTAAAGAAGTAGAGAGTTAATGTATATTGATGTGAAGGTGGAGTTATGGTTTGACACAAGTGTGGAATTTTGAACAATGAAATGTATGTATTAAAGTGCTTAGGGAGGTGTAATGTATCCTACCCATCCCGTACCCTACATTACAACCAATTAAAGTCCTACTTGATCTTTGACTGAATAAGCTCAATTAGTAGAGTAGAATACTACGGCAAGCCTATGGTACGTCTTTTGTGGTATATGTATGTTGTTTTCTGAGAGTGAGTGAATTCTTTCTATCTTGAGTTCCTAATGGTTCTTAAATTTTATTATGTATGAAACTACTCTCTATTGTTGTGTGAGGGCACTTGATTCATGAAAGAAAGGTAATGTCGTTGACCTCTGTGTTAGAGTAAGTGAGTGGGTTATAAATAATGCGTGGTGCTTTTGAGTCAAATCTTGAGGTAAGGATATTACGGTATTGTGCTTAATCTGTTTTAAATATTCTTGGTGTGGTAAGTTATGAGAGTTGTTTAACAAGGTTGTGTCTATGTGAAGTTTTGTTTGATTGCTCGAGGACGATCAATGGTTTAAGTGTGGAGTGTTGATGGTAGGCTATAATTATGTATTTTAGTCGTTTATTGCACTCTAATTTACTGCACTTTGTGAGCACCTAATTTATGACTATATTTAAATTTTTATCACCTTGTACTGTGTAAATATTTTTAGAAATTTAATATATATTTTTTAGATTTGTGACATTTTTTATATATAGGGTAAAAATTAAAAATAATTTAAAAGGTCAATTATTACTATTAATAGAATTTTATTTTATTTTTATCTTTATTTTAAAATAAAATAAATTAAAAACCCAAAAAAAATTAAATATTTTTTTAAAAGTTTTTGGATTTGAATAAAAAAATAGGAAAAGTAGAAGTATGGAATTAAAAAATAAAAGTAAAAGTAGGTGGAAATTATTTAATAAAAAGTAAAAAAGTGGAAAATTAAAAAAATAAAAGTAAAAGAATGTGAAAATTTAAAAAATAAAAAGTAAAAGAAAGTTGGAATTAAAAAATAAAAGTAAAAGTAGGTGGAAATTATTTAATAAAAAGTAAAAAAGTGGAAAATTAAAAAAATAAAAGTAAAAGAATGTGAAAATTTAAAAAATAAAAAGTAAAAGAAAGTTGGAATTAAAAAATAAAAGTAAAGGTACCTGAATTTGTTTTTAAAAAAAAGTAAAAGAGAGTGGAAATTTAAAAAAAGAAAAGTAAAATAAGTGAAAAAAAAAGAAAAGTAAAAAAAAAGTGGAAATTTAAATATAATAAAAGTAAAAAAGTGAGAAATTAAAAAATAAAAGTAAATGAAAGTGGGGAATTATTTGTTTTTAAAAAAGAAGAAAAATGGGAAGTTGGAATTCTTTTTAATTAAAAAATAATAAAATAAAATAAAAAATCTGAAAAAATTCCGAAAGTTTTTCTATAAATAGAAGAGAAATGTGAGGAGAAAGAAAAAGGGAGAGAGGAAAAAAGAGAGGGGAGGGATTTGGAGAGAAATGTTTTTGCTTCTTCTACGCTAAGGAAAATTCTATTCGTGTCATTCTTTCTTCGTCTTTCTTTCGAAAAAAACCAGCAGCTTCACCATCCCAAAGCCACCAAACCTTGACCACTTTTGAGCCATCATTAACCTCCCAAAAAAAGCTCCAAAAATAGCCACCAAATCGTCGGTTTTGCAAGGTTGATTGAGGTTGTAAGTTGAGATTTTCTGCTCGCGTTTTCCGCGGTCCGAAGGGTCTAGTTGCGAGCTATCCGATCACTGAGTGGTTGTAATTTAAATCCACAATCATCAATACAAAGGTTCACTTCTCTTTCTATTTTATTTTTCCATTAATGTTCTGGGTCATTCTGTTTTAATTTAACTTTGAGTATGATATGGTCGAGTTTGTATCTGAGTGTGCTAAGATTAATTTGTTCTCATGTTGAGTATTTATTAAGATTAATTTATTGTCCTTTTTGGTAGTTCATATGGTTAATCTTATTGATGAATATGTATTAATTTGTTACTTTTCTTGTTTATTCAATGAAGTAATGGCTTTCCATTTTAGCATGCTTTAGTTTCATTTTGATCTCATATCTTAGTGACTAAATTGGTTCTGCCCGTATCTATCTATTCCTACCATAAATTTAGTCTAGTTTCAGATATTAGTTAGCAGTAAAATTATAAGAGATTAGGTTGGGTCATGATTGGTGTAAGACTTTAATTGGACTTCCCCGGCATATTTATGGGCTAATTGTTGCCCAGGACCAAAAACAAATAAACATTCTCAAGCTAGCCAAGTTTTCCATAATTAACTTACTTCATTTCCTCCACAACAATATACATACCTCATGACCTTACAATAATCTCAAAATTAGTAATTGAATAATAATCGAACATCGTAGCTTGCTTTAGGCGTGATTAATAATAAATCATCGTGACTGTGGGTACGGTTCCCGTGGCATAGTCATGATACGTAAATCCCAATTAAAGTGCGCGTTTCACATGACTTGACCATAACTTCATAATAATAAAAATAAACATGTTGTAAATTGCGGGTGCGTTTCACGTGGCGCGGTTTGCAATGTGTACCAAAATGACAAGTGTACGACATCGTAGCTTGATCAAATAAATTTCATAAATACTAAAAGCGGTTAAGCAAATAATTAAAAGTGGTCAAAAGGTAAAATGCATAATAGGTTTAAAGCATATAATAAGTCAGATAATTAGGCCAAGTATTAATTGTTAAGTGACCGTGCTAAAACCACGGAACTCAGGAGTGCCTCACACCTTCTCCAGTGTTAAGATAATTCCTCACCCGGTCTTCTGTGTTTGCGGACCATAAATAGAGTCAATTTCCTCGATTTAGGATTCTAAAATAAACTAGTGACTTGGGACACCATAACAATTATTCCAAGTGGCAACTCTGAATTAAATAAAATAATTTCATTTCTAACAATGCCACTTAGATTGGAAAAACTCCCCTATCCCTCGGGAAAAAGGAGGTGTGACACACTTCACCTGTGTTTGAGCTTCAATTGATAATATTTTGCATTTATTGTGTGTTTTATGCCTTGTAGGATTGATTCCGAGTTATGCAGATGTTATGTAATGAATTCGAGTGATTTGGAGCTTTAAAGTCTGAGTAAAAGCCCAAGGGAATAAGTCGGGATCGTTTTCGGGGGTCGAGGACCAAGTCTGGACGTCAAAACGCAAGAAAAATCCGTACTCTTAGAAATCTCCATTGCCGCGGCGCGTAGGGCGCCGTGGCTGTACAAATCCCTATTGTCTGTCAGAACTAGATCTCTGTATTTCTCCACTAAGTTCCCGCATAGCGCGTCACCCCATGCGACGCGCCTGTGTATTTTTTACAGAGTGAAAATCCTATTTCAACTAGGAGAAGGTGGTTTCGTCTGGGCCCGACCCT